ACTGTTGATGGTCAGATTTCATGCCCATTCTTGAGCTAGAGGTTCAAGTCTGGTTTTTTGTTTCTTAACCATATCAAGGATAACTAGGAATATAAATGTGTAGTGGTATTTTATTTGTATTTTAATAAATAAAGCTTGCCTGAAGGTGAGAAAAGGGAAACAGCCACACTGGCCAGCCTTACAGACCAGGCAGCAATGACACACACCTTTAATCCCAGTAGCCACAATGACACACACCTTTAATCCCAGTAGCCACACTAGTTTGCCATAGAAACCAGGCAGTAGTGGTGCATGCCTTTAATCCCAGCCCTAGAGAGGGTTATAAAACAGGAGGAGACAGCTCTCAGGCTCAGTCTCATTCTGAGATTCCTCGAGGCAGGATCCCCATTTGAGACTGAGTTAGAGGTAAGAGCCAGTGGCTGGCTGCTTTGCTTTTCTGGTCTTCAGGCTGAACCCAATTTCTCTCTCTGAGTTTTTATTAATCATATTCATAAGTGCATTTTATTAATGCCTTGTACCCTCAGAGGCCAGAGGAGGGCATCCAATCCCCTGGGACTAGAGTTACTAACAGTTCTAAGGCAGCACGTAGGGGCTGTGGGTTGAACCCAGGTCCTCTGCAAGATCACTGAGCCATTTCTCCAGATTCCCCAGGCACTGTTCTAAATGAGTCTCATGGACCGTCTTGTGCTCATTTAACAGAAAAGCTATAAAGTCAACTCTTTTTAGCCCCAGGTTTGGAGAGGTAGGGTCACTTTCCTCAGACCATGCTCTGTAAGCAGTAAACCTGACCAGGAGGTGCACTCAGGACAAGTGACTAGCTATCTCTGCTTCTCAGAATAATCTGTTTCTTTCCAAAATGCCTGGCCACACCTCTATTCTAAACAGACACCAGTACCAGGCAGAGCCTTCTAGGAACAGCCCACTTAGTGTCTTTCAGAAACTACACATGTGACCTCAGAAAGGCAGGGGTGAGGCAGGGGGATACTTTTTCCCTCCTTTCTTCCCCCTAACTTTCCTTCCTTCTCTCATGACAGGGTCTCACTGTGTTGCTGTGGCTGGCCTTGAACTGCCTCTGCCTCTTCTTCCTGAGGGCTGGGATTAAAGGTGGTTGTCACCACGACCTGATTTTTTTTCTTCTTTAGGTTCAGAAAAAGACCCAAACATGCTCAGAATTCATGAAAGTCAATTAAATGAAAAGATGTAAATAAGTTATGGATTAACGGGGTGATTGACCATCTGTTTCAACCTCAGTTTGAGCATGGCGGTTCTATGGCACTTTTGTATGGTACTCTGTTGCCCCCATGTGGCCACTTGTAAGATGGCAGACAGTAAACTTCCTAATTTTGATGGAAATTTTCAAAATTTTAGAATAATGCAGATTTTAAAATCATGTGTGTTTTCTGTGTTTAATTTGTATTTGAATTTCAAATATCATTGCAAGGCATTAGCATGTATCTTAAAAGTTCCTTCCAAACAAATGCTACGATCGGCTCATTTTACAGACGAGAAGACTGAGGCACAGAGAGGCGCAACTACTTGCTCAAGTTAACACGCACTGAAATCCAGGCACTTTGCCAACTCCTCGCCCTAAGTTTTAACATGACTGCCGCTATCTTTTCCAAAATGGGTCACTATGCACACGTTACCTCCTGTAGGGGACTTCCCAGGTTGCCCAATTCATGGTGTGTTCCATTAAACCATCAACTTTTAATATATTAACACCCATTTCCCATGTAAGGGAATTCGTATTCATTCACTTTCTTTTGTGCTTCCTTGTCTATATTGTCTTCATCCCTGACCCACACCCCTCTAACACCTCAGCTCCTCAAGATCAGGGACCACTTCTTATTTGTTTACTTCTGTAGTTCAGGCCCTGGCAAAGGTGTCAGGGGTCTGGAAACATCTACTAAATTGAATGAAAGGGCTGGGTCTTATAGGGCCCTACAGTTTTGGTAGTAAAAGCAGATACCCTGAGTTTCATAGCCAAACCTTGTTTTAAAAACCAAAAGGTTAAGGCTTGAAAAGATGACTCAGTGGTTAAGCACATTTCTTGCTCTTCTAGAAGACCTAGGTTTGAATTCTGACATCTATATTGTAGTTCACAGTCATCTATAATTCTAGATCCGGGGATTCAGCTCTCTTTTTTGACCTCTGCAAACACAAGGCATGCATGTGGTGCACAGGCAGACATGTTGGCAGAACACTCAAACACAAAATAGCTAAACTTTAAAGGTGTATGGGGCAGAAGCTGAGGATACAGCTTTGTGGTAGATTGCTTGCCTGGTTCACTCAAGACCCTGGGTTTGATACCTAGTACTGCAGACAAACAGACAAAGAACAATAAAAACAAGAATGGAAAAAAGGAAGGGAGAGAAAAGGAAGATGGGGAGGAAGGAGGGACAAAACCCCAAGCGCTTTAAGAGAGTGAAGCGGTGGCTCGAAGAGGGGATGAAGGGTAGAGAGGAAGAAAGATACAAAGATACTTTTGGCAGGTGCTCAGGACCATGAAACATCAAGGGTGAGTCCAAGACAAGCCCCACGTGGCTGGGAGCACATCCCTCTGATTAGAGTAGTTGGATAAAATCACAGGGTGACCAGGTTAAAAATTAACTTCAGATACACAGGGAATAGTTTTTAAAACTATAAGTATGTTATGTGCAATATTTGTGGCATACTACACTTCAAAATTCTCTGTATTTGAAATTCAAGTTTACTGGTCAACTGTCTTTTATGGAGCTACCCTCTCCTGGCTCTTTGCTTGGTTCTAAGTGTTGTGGGAGGTCCTGCTGACTTTAGTATCCTTTTAAAATACAGAACATTTTGTTTTTGTTCCTGAATAAAGAAGCACACACTCTTTATTGATCCAAAAAAAAAAAAAAAAAAAAAGGACACATGCCACAGAGACAGATGGCAGCTTGTTACAGGAGAATGGTTCTTGAGGCTTAAGGGAAGGTGTCAATGTATTGTTCTGAGCCCATGGTGGCCTCCTGGGATCTGCTTATCCCCTGGAACTTTCCTCCACAGGTCTATAGGTGACCTGGAGTCGTGTTTAACTCCCTGGTTGCTGCCAAAGAGAACAGGAGAGAGACACTGAGTTCAGGAGGAAAAGACAGCCTGGGAATGTGAACTCTCTGGTAATTTGTTCATTCATGCAGTCTCACCAAGTGGTTTCAGAGATGAAGGGCATGGGGCGTGGCCTTGAGGCTCTGCACAGAGAGGGGACTGCCTCCTTACCCCTGCCTAGTCTCTCCCTCCCATCTTTCCTTCCTTTCTCTTTCCCTCACTCCTTCCATTCCTTCTTCCTTTCTTCCCTATTCTTACCCCCCCCACAGCCATTTGTCAACTTACTTACCCACTATCCAAAGAGGACTCTAAAGGAATAACTGCTATACACTGGTTTTATTGCATTGCCCTATCTTTGCACAGATACCTGCTCCTGATGCATCCACAGCTATCCAACAACACCCAACTTAACCTACTTCATTTGCACACTCTTCTCCAATTGGTTGGTACAAATCCACCAGGCCCCTAATCCTCCATTTAGCCTGGTTTTTGGTTTGCTCAGTCCAGTGTCCTGGGATTCTCAGACTTGGCTCTGCTCTGTGTGCTCTTGTCTGCTCAATAAAGTGTCTCTGGTGATCTCTTTGGGTTGGTTAAAAATCTGGTTCAACCCTGAGCATTGCCATTGGCAAAATTATGTGATCCTGATGAATCATTTTGCTGTTCTGACTCTCTGTTCCTATATCTGTGAGAAGAATTGCCTTGGCTGGATTCTTATGAGAATATTCTGTGGTAGGTAGTATGTTCTCAAAAGCCAGACAGCCTGAGTTCAAACCCTGTTTCTACTTATCAGCAAAATTCCCTGAACCAATGACCTATTCTCTTTCATCTGAATGATAAACAAATACGCCAAATAAGTGCATAAATGTAAAAACACTTGCATGTGCTTTGAACAAGGTGGTCTAATACGTGTTAGCTATTACTGTGATGGATATTAAAGTCTATTGTCTAAATGTTGTTCATGTCATTATTGTCCAATTCATATGTGAGTGTAGCTACGAAAAGTTAATTGGTTCAGAGTACAGAGGTCCCTGTATGAATACAACTCAAAAGGATGAAGTCCTACCCTGTTGGGTCTCAGTCTTCACATTTGTAAAGTCTATGACAGCCACATCTCTGCCTGTTTCCCAGGAGAGTTCACATGCCTGGCCCATTGTAAGCTTTCAAAACAAACATGCATGGGACACACATGTGTCAGTGACATGGCAAGCTGCAGGGTTCTGTCTTAGGTGGCACCTGGACTAACTTGTGGCCCCTGAGACCTAGTGAAGGGAGGCCCACAGAAGGCAGAGGATGAAGGCTGAGTTGAGTGGTCAGTATTACATCTAGGTGATAGGATTCTGGTTAAACCAGCCGAAATGATTCTTGCTGGAGACTGGTCAGGACCCAAAGACATCACCTGGGAGATGTATAGGGTAAAAGGGCCAGTCAAAGAAACCCACCCTGGCCCTGAAACCAGAGCCAGTGAAAGAAACACCATGGCTAGTAAAAGAAAAACTTTAGCCCTGAATCCAGAACCAAAGAAATGTACTCTGACTCTGAAACCAGTGCCAAAAAACTCCAACAAAAACAAACAAACAAACAAACAAACAACAGCAACAACAACAAAACCACACTTTGGCCCTAAAATCAGAGCCAGTGAAAAAAATATGCCCTGGTACTGAAATTAGAGCCAAAAGTTAAAAAGTGCCAGTGAAAGAAACTTTGACCCTGAAACCAGAGTCAGATCTGCCCCTGACCAACTAAGCAGAAAACCAACCAATTCCTGTCCAGGGAAGCAGATCAATCCCTGAGCAGAGATCTAGCCAATCTGAGCTCAAGGGACTGAAATCTGGCCAACTCCCACCCTGAAAATCTCCCTGGAGAAACTCTGCCCCTAAGAAGCCCTATATAAGCCCTTCACCTGTTCAGTTTAATGCTACCACTTTTTCCACCCGGCAGAGGCAGCCACTCTCCTGGATTCTTCCCTCTCAATAAATCTCTTTAATGAGGTTTGGGTGAGAACTTCTTTCACTGGAATGGATCAGAGGAGAGAAGTAACAACTTTTTGCCAGATTGCCAGAACCAGGCAGGGCTGTAACACTTTCACTGGGGAAACCTTCCTCTAGCACTTCCTCTAGTTGTTACACTTGGGCATACCAGAATAGAACTGTAACTGTAACAACTTCTCCAGGGGAAGCCCTCTCCTGCCTGAACAGAGACATTACATTGTGGAAACCTTTCCCAGGAGCAGGGCTGCAAGCTGCTACACCTACTGTGACCTGTGTTGTTCCTTGGCTCCCAACTGCCAGAATATTCTTTCATCTTAGCTATAACACGATTTCCTGGCTTCCTATTGCCAGCATACTTTTCATCTTTCCCATCTGAGCTGTAGCGCTTAGCATTCGTTGGCTCCCGACTGCCCGGATCCCTGTTCATCTGAAGCGCAACACAAGATGGATGAGGGCGAGGAACCTATCAAGAAGTCGGAGTGATTTGATATGAAGAACGTGGGCTCCTGTTAAACTAATTTAGTAATACTCTTTGCCGAAACTGGACCTTATGAGGAATATTGGCTAGAAGATGTTTCGAGAGCCCGACAGAAGTTTGGTCAAGGAGAAACTCTGTCAGTTTGCATGTGAAACATCTGGAAACTAAGTGCCAATATTAACAATAGTTATCTCTGAAGAATAGAAGTAACTTTAAAATTTTAGAGGTATGCGGGGGTGGAGAGTAGGTAAGTGGTAGAGCACGTGCTAACTGGAGCTAAGACTGCGTTTGATGTCTTCCCCCACTTCAAGTAAGAGTTCCTATTTAGATCATGTAGGCTCTGTGTGGCTCTGGGGGATGCCACTGTCGCTCACAGAAAGTGGGGCTGAGACAGAAGTGTGACTTTAGATGTATTCAAGGAACAGGACAGATCTCTATAGTAACCAGAGAGTACGACCTGAAGGGGAAAAGAGCCTAGACCTTGAAATATCTATCAAGGTTTAGACTTCATTTGATTCCTGACTGTCTTTTTCCTAATACTCAGTCACCTTCGGGAATCTTTTATTCCTTTTCTAAGGCAGATTCAAGCTGCCCTTAATCCTCCAATCATCCTCTTCTCCCCCCGAGGTCTAAGGACTGCAACAATCTAGACTGCGCCCTGGAACGCTCTGCTTCGCCCGATGCGTACTAACTACAACGCCCAGCATGCTGTGCGTTCGCCTCGAGTGCGTCGCGCGTTGCTGACGTAGGTGTAGCGCGGGGAATTTCGAGTAGAAGGACTGGGCGGCAGGCCGGTAGCTTGTGGCCTTGTCAGGTGCGACCATGGAGACCCTGGCCGAGCCAAGGTGGCCTCCGGGGCTGTCGATGATGAAGGTGAGTGTCCCAGGAAGGCCGGGGCCCGGACGGCGCTGTTGAGAGCGGGGCGGCCCTGGCCGCGCGCTTCCGCCTCAGCCCTACCCTGGCCGGGCCTCGCGACGCCGGGTCCAACGCCCGGGACTGTTCGGGAACGCGCAGCGGGCCTATGCCGTGAGCCCAGGATGGCCGCCCTAACGAACCGGGTGTTTTGGGTTTCAGTCACAAGCACCTCGTCACCAGGATAAAGTCACCGGAACGCGGTGTCAACAATGGTGACAGCTCATCCTCGGAAGACTTCGTGTGTGAACAGTGACACCACGCGTGATTTGGGTGGACTCTGATGACGTTTTTTATAATCATATAGCAAAACAGGGGATCTGCTTGCCATGGCTTTCCTTTTCTCGCTGAGGTTCACAAGTGCTCCTCGTTCTTAGCACACTGCAGCCGGTTTCTCCCTGATGTGCCCTGCCTCTTTCAACGACACATCTCTCTTTTATTCAATTTTTATTTATTTTATTAGTTTATGAGACAAGCCTTTTACTCTAGTCCTTGGCTAGCCTGGAGTTCGGTAGGACCAGCCTAGTCTCGATTCACCTGATCCAGCATCCGGAGCGCTATTTTTTTCACCCTTACCCTAGTAACAATGTTTCTCTGCGTAACAGTCTTGACTACCCTGGAACTCGCTTTGTAGACCAGGCTGGCCTCAAACTCACAGAGATCCACCTCTGCCTCCCAAGTGCGGAATTAAAGGTGTCCACCACCATCGCCCAGCTCGCTGACCATAGTCATGGTCAGTGGCCATCCCTGGCTCACATCTTTTTTTTTTTTTACTTTTTAAAATTTATTTATTAAAGATTTCTGCCTCCTCCCCTCCACTGCCTCCCATATCCCTCCCCCTCCACCAATGAAGTCCCCCTCCCTCATCAGTGGCTCACATCTTTTTAAAACGGAGATTAGGACGTAGGCCCAGTACTTAGCCTTTGAGTTTAAGGAATTATTGCACACTGAATTATTTTAGTTAAGTAATATTTACTTGGGTGGATATTTTTTATTTATTTTAACTAAGAATCACTCGGTAACCCTCTTGCCCCTGCCCTGGATATAGACTTTTCTCCTTACTTTTTATAAAAGCACTGTATTTCCCTAAGATAGGTTTTGGTTTTTTTTTTTTTTTTTTTCTTTTTTGGCTTGTTTCGTGTTTGAGACAAGGTTTTCCCTTGTGTATTCCTGGCTGTCCTGGAACTCTTTCTATAGACCAGGCTGACCCCAAACTCTGTCTCCGAATGCTGGAATTATAGATGTGTGTCACCACTGCCCAGCACAAGTTTTTAATAGCTATTTTATCATATGGATTGTTAATGACAACTTGTTTGTGTTTGGTTTTGAGACAGGCTCCCTGTGTAGTCCAGACACACTTGGAGCTTGCTGGCTAGCTCAAGGTGGTGTCTAACTTTTGGATCCTCCTGCTTCTGCCTCTGAAGTGCTAGGTTTACAAGTGTGTGCCACCATAATGGTATTTACTTATATTTAAATTATTTATTCTAAACAATTATTTCATTTTGTACATTGAGTGTTTTCGCCTCATATATGTATGTGTTCTGCATGCATGCCTGGTGCTTGTAGAGGTCAGAAGAGAGCATTGAATCCCTGGAACCAGAGTCATAAATGGTCGTGAGCCGTGGTATGGGTACCAGGAATCCAACCCAGGTCCTCTGCAAGAGCAACTGGTGCTCTTAACTGCTGAGCCATCTCTTCTGTCTCTACAGTTTTTAAGTAATAGATTCATGTGGCTTAAGAAATACTTAAAATGAAACAGATTTCCTTCCTGCCATGCTCCTCAGTTCCTTGATCTTAGTAACTATGATTTATCACTTCATTGTATCTTTATAGAATTTTCTTCATATGTATAATACATTCTATTTTTGCTTTTGTTTTTATGAGCAGGGTCTAACAGTGTTGCTCTGGCTGTCCTGAAACTATGTAGATCAGGCTGGTCTTGAACTCACAAGCGCTGGGGAACGTGTGCCACTATCTTTAGCTGTAGTATACATTTTTATTCATATCGCGTGCGTGCATGCATGCCCGTGTGTGTGTGTAGCTCAGGGTGGCAGCCAGGGCCACTTTCATGCTAGACAAGGACTCCTTCCTTCAGCTACTTCCTCAGCTTCCCAAACATTTATTTCTTGAGAATAAAGCAGCCTACCTTACTATCTTCCTATCATTATTTTACTTAAACAAACTAAAGTTTAAGTTGCAAGAGTAAATCCTATTCTGTTTGGCTTGTTGTCCAATTTGACACTGACTGTAGCTAGCTGTTTTGAAGGCTTCCTCGTGTGGCTGCACTGTGGTGAATCATGCCGTAAGTGTTGGACTACCATGAGGAGGATGGGTATTTCAGTCTCAGAGTCCTACCCCAGCCTCCGAAATGCTAGGACTACAGGTGCATGTGGCCATACCCTGCTAGAGGCTTTTTATTGTTTGACTTTACTAGTTTCCAACTTGATCCTTAAGCTATGTGGTGATGGATTGTTGATGTCTTCCACCAAGTGGTTACCATATGCCAGAGGATGGGGTCTGAAGAGCTAGAGTATGGGAGAAGAAGAGCGGGAATGGAGGGCCCTTTGTGAAGGCCTAACAGTATGGCATGAGAATCCACAGTATCAACTGTACAAAGCGACTGGGGTAATCTGAAATTTGAATTTTTAAGTTTTTGTTTTTAATTGTTTTTGGTTTTTCAAAACAGGGTTTTTCTGTGTAATAGCCCTGGCTTTCCTGGAACTTGTTTTGTAGACCTGGCTGCCTCAAAGATTCACCTACCTCTGCCTCCTGAGTGCTGGGATTAAAGGCCTGCCACCACCACACCTAGCAAATTTGAATATTTGTGGGGAGGTTTTTCTCTGTCATTAGACTTTCATGTTTATCTGTTGTTAGATTTTGAATATGTATAACTTACAAATAATTGTTTTAGGGAAATAGAGGGAAAGTTGTGTGCCAGGCATTGATTCTGTTGTTGATGTCTTGTTGCTATACATGTGTTTTAATATTTCAGACAATAGATGATTTGCTACGCTGTGGGATTTGCTTCGAGTATTTCAACATTGCAGTGATAATTCCCCAGTGCTCTCATAACTGTAAGTACATTTTGTTTTGTGTTAGTAAAAGCACAAAGTAGTTTTCATTAACACTGAAGATTCATTCACACGTTCATTTTTCATCGTCCATTCCTCTATCTTATACTTTTAGGAAGGTCTATGCCATTACCTCATCTTAAATATGGTAGTTTCTTACAAGGTTCTTACATTTTCTGCCACCCCCCTCCCCCCTTTGGATATTTTTATATGCTTTTTATTGACTTTACAGCAGTGAAGATTTTGGTAACAATACATGGTTATTTGCTGAGCACTTTAATATGTTAAACTTTGGGATGTTGCTTTTAGCAGAATGACAGATGAATGTTTCAACCATTTAGTGTGGAATTATAAATCTTAACCTTCAAAAGAATAGGAATGTTGACACATTTCACCATGGAATTATATCCCAGTGAACCTGTCAGGAGGTGAAAATACTGTTAAGTTAAAATTTTGTTAATGCACCTCACTTATTTCCTTTTGTATGTAGCACAGTACAGGTAGAACGAACTGACACTCCTGACCAACTGGAGGTGGGAAGCTGTGCCTACCTCCTCTGCCCAGCATTTCAAAAGTATTTTACTGCATATTGCTAGGGGAAGGTGGTGGGGAGCAGGACGGAGGAAATCTAAATGTAAAATATAGTTTCTATTGAATGAATACTGTTTTTGTATTCTGCTATGGCTGGAAAATTGTCAAACCATCATAATTCAAGGACCATCTGGATTCCCTCAGAATTCCCTCATTGAAGAGTATTCAGATGGTTTTATCACTTAGCAGCTGGGTGATACTGAAAAGAGTTGTGCAGTAGAATTGTTTATCTTCTTTATGAGAAATATGTTTTAAATGCTTGGTGTATAAGCTTATTCATTTGTTTACCTGCTTATTAGGTGATGTCGGTTTGCATGCCCTCATAGATATATACGTCGGCAAGTGCTCTGCTGCTGTGTTAAGATTTTGATAGCTCAAGGTTGTGGAGGCTGGTTAACCTCTCATTTAGGCCATCTAGTTTATTGAATATTTAGATTATGAACTTTTTTTGTCCTCTGCTTTCAAGTGGATATTTGTCTTGGAAAGTTAAAAATCAGTTCAGTTTGGCTTAAAAAAGGTGGTTTAATTGGGAAAAAGCTTTGACAGAAAGTTCTGTAAAGTCATAAGATGTTGGCAAGTGTCAGCTTTGCAGACAGATACACCTGCGCTTGGCTTCTGAGTGCCACTTACCAAGTGGAGGAGTTTAAAATTATTGGCCAACATTTCTCTAAATGGAAAAGACTACTGAGTAATTTTTTACTTCAGATAGTTCTGAGAACTAATATGCAGAACTTGAGGCTGTGGAAGATGGTTTAGTAGGCAAAGTAAGGACATGAATTCTGATCTCTACTACCCACTACAAAGTTTCTGCACCCCGATAAGCCTCTCCTCCTATGCAATAATCCAAATCAGACCGAATCAAACTGAATTAGAAAAACCCACATTTAATGGATAGAAACGTTCCTGGATGACTTTCCAGCCCCCTAGAGAGGAGACGGTAAAGGAAGACCAGAAAACCACTTGTTTGTTCTGTGGGGAAGGCAATTTAAATACCCTGTGGTTGGCCTTGAGCATCTCTGGGGAGGGATCATTGGTAGGCTTTCTCAGGGATGGGGTCTGGACTGAGGCAAGTCCAGGGGAGGGGGCTTGGGGTAGAGCTTCCATACAAACAGTCCAGACTCTTTGGACATGTGGATGCCAGGGGCTAAAGTGAAACCTTTACCCAAACATCCACATAAAAGCCAAGGGTAGTGATGTAAACCTATAACCTTAGCACTTGTGTTCAGAGACAGGTGAATCCTGGGGCCTCACTCTAGTCAACCTACCTGGAAAAACAACAGTAACAACAGAGAATTTCAGGTTCAGTAAGAGAATTTGTCTCAAAAATAAGATGAAGGGTGATTGAGGAGGACACACAGCATTGGCATCCATGCAAGTGCTTCCTCATATAATAGCCATACCAAAACCAAACCAAACCAAACCAAAACAAAAACCCTCACTGCTTGGCTCATTTTGAGTGTATCATTACTTTATCTGTTGCTGTGATAAAACACCATAACCAAGGCAACTTTTGGAAGGAAGGGTTTATTTGGTCTGTACCTCCCAGAGAGATAAGAGTCCATCACGATCACTACAGGGAATTGTGGCTGCAGGCAAGCATAGAGCCTGAGGGCTCCTATCTTACACCATAAATAGGAAGTGGAGAGATGGACAGTGTCTTTAGACTCTCAGAGCCTGCTCCCAGTGACTAACTTCCTCCAGCAATGCCACATTTCCTAAGCCTTTCTAAAGCATTACCAGCTGGGAACCAAGTATTCAAATGCCTGAGAAAAATGTAGGCCATTTCATTGAAACCACCACAATGTGCAAGTGAAGACTTCCCATTGGTTTCCGGCTGCCCAGACCCAAAATAATCACACAGAAACTATATGAATTAAAACACTACTTGGTCTATTATCTTAGGCTTCTATTAACTCTTACTAACTCTTACATATTACATTAACCCTTTTCTATTATTCGGTGTATCGCCACAAGGCTATGGCTTACTGGTTACCCAGTAAGTTCTGGTGTCTGTCTGTTTCTTTCTACTCTATCTCTTCCAGCCTGACTATATTTTGCCCTGCTATAGGCTGAAGCAGCTTCTTTTATTAACCATGGTAGTAAAACATATTCACAGCATACAGAGGGGAATCCCACATCAATAATGGGTCTTTACAAATGTTAGTTTCCTTCCAGGTAGAGTCATATTAATAGCCAGGATCAACATTGGGGATTGTTCCTAAATAAACTTTAATATCTTTACAAACAATAAAAATCATACATTAAAATGAGCATATTCAGTGACATACTCATATAACAAGTACAGTTAAGTTTTTTCAACAGATAATGTGGTCTTTGAAATACCCATAGATCTGTCTATAGCTAGATCTATCATGTGGTATTGTCTTGAATTGATAGGATTGATGGGTCTGAATCCTAGTTGTTTATTGCTCCTTACACATTCCAGGATTCATCATGGTAAATCAGTTTATTCTGTTTCACTCTGCTTGTTTGTGTTTAGTTATTAAAGTTTGAATGAATTAAGAAGCAGATTAGTTAAACTGAATCCAAAGTCACTGTGTTGCTGTTCCAGATGAGGGTCACAAAATTAGGCAGAGCACATTCTGGAGTGCTGGTCCTTAGTTGGTTGGATGGTGTTTTCTTACTAGCTAAAAATAATTAATTAAATTTTTGTTGAAATAATATGATTTAAAGTGATGTAATTTTTTAAAAAAAAACCATCCACATCCACTGAATTAATGTAAGTGAGAGTCTGGGAAACTAAGTTAAAAGGAGTAACCATCCCTGTAGATGCCTGAGTTCAGCAACCATGGTTAGGAATTTGTGACTTAAAATATTGCCTGGGAGACTCACTGTATGTCTTAATTACTTTTCTGTTGCTGTGAAAAGATACCATGACCAAGGCAACTTACAGAAGCAAGAATTTATTTGGGATTACAGTTTCAGAGGTTTAGAGTCCATGACAATCATGGTGGGAAGCATGGCAACAGGCAGGCAACATGGTGCTGGGGCAGTAGCTGAGAGGTCACATTTTGATCCACAACCATGAGATGAGGTAGAGAGACCTGACTGGAAATGGCCGGAGTCTTTTGACACTTCAAAGTCCACCCCTACTGACAAATCCTCTTCAACAAAGTCACACTTTCTAATCCTTCCCTAACAGTTCCACCAAGTGGCTTATGGGGCCATTTTCGTTCAATCCACCATATTCCACTCTCTGACCTCCATAGACTGGTGGCCATACAATAATGCAAAAATGCATTTTGTCAAGCTTCAAAAGTCTCTATAGTTTTTCAGTCACAACACAATTTAAAAGTCCAAATTCTGTTTTGAAACTCAAGGCAGTGTTTAAATTGTTACTTCCTGTAAACTCAAAATCAGAAAGCAAATTACATAATTCCAGCATACAGTGACATAGAATATACCTTGCCATCCAAAATGGAGAATGGGCATACTGAGGAAATACTGGGCCAATCACAGCTGAAACCCAGCAGGACAAACTCCAAATCTTCTAGCTTTTTGTCTGATGTCAAAATTTTGTCTGATGCCAGGATTTAGACGGTTCTTTCCTTCCATTCCAGCTTTGCTGACTGCAGCACACTCCTTGTTTTTGGGCTCCCTGTGTACAGCTCTCCTTGGCAGATATTTCAGGACTCTGGTATTTCTAATATCTTGGGGTCTCCCAGCACAGTCCAGGCTTCACTGTCACAGCTTCATGCTTTCGGGGCACTCTTCTGCCACATGCCTGATCTCCGTGGCTGGCTCTATTTAGCTTTGGAGGAAGATTCCACAACTACTATACTTGTGTATCCTCATGATGGAAAGCAAGAATCATGTTGATAACATAAATTTTACTGCCCAGTTGGCAAAGAGCCTAGTCCCTCCTTGAATTACATTTGTAGAAGCTTTCCTTTGTTTTTAGCAGCAAAAAATTCCTCAGGCATTTCCTTGTTGGATGGGGTCTTGCCCTGAGTGCACCCCTCCCTTTATTGTATAACAGTTCTTTCTTTAGTCTTCTCAGCTCTTTCAGCATAGTCCTTGATTCTGACATTAAATTTTCTGCTGTTCTTTTTCTTCTCAAACTACCCCTCCCCCCCAGTTTTGTTCCACTTGCTCTTTTTCACTGTAGACTTGCATAAGAGGGATTGCTAAGAGCTACTTGACTGAATCAGTATTCAACTGTCTTAAAATCTCTTCTACCAAGGAAATTAATCTGTTTTTAATTTAGGACAAGTGTGAAAAGTAGCCACATTCTTTGCCAGAATATCACAAGAATGCTTTCTATTTCAGTTGCTAATATTGTTCCCCTCTACAACCTTTTGAGCTGGCCTTCATCGTCCCACATTGCTCTCAGCACTGTTGCCTTCCAAGCTCCTACTAGGATGGCCCACTAAGCCCTACTTCAACTGCTTTCCTAGTCTAAAGTCTCAAAGTTGTCCACATTCCTCCTCCCCAAAACAAACAAACAAACAAACAAACCAACCAACCAACCCCAGTATGGTCAGACCTTTCAGAATATTACCCCACTCCTGGTACCAACTTTCAGATCTTTCCAGCAACTGTCAGTCACACTTCAGGTGTTCTCTTTGATGCTGGCTCCAGTATAGTTGTCTTTTTTTTTTTTTTTTTTTTTGGTCTGGCTCCTGCCTGTGGCCTCTCCTCCCTGTAGTGCTGCCTGTCTAGTTTTTTGAGGGGAGGGGTAGCAGTTTAGCCTGTGACCTTGCTTTTCTGATTTTCTGATGAATCTGAGGAGAGTTGTTGGCTTTTCAGGTTGCTCACAACTGAATGGCAACTTCTAGCTTCTTTGCAATGCCCAGAGGCTCTCAACCTGTCTTTTGCCTGTCCTTGTCCATAATATGGCCCTTCCTTTTTTCCCCTTGGGACTGTTGTTGGAGCCAGCAATACTTTATTTTTGAATACTTGCACCATCAAAATCATACTGTTTTTGTTTCTCCAACTAAATTGATATGTTTTTAATAAGGCTCCTTAATTCAGCTGAGCTTAGGCTTCATGTAAAGGAGCCACCATTGAGGTATCATCTATTACACCAGATAGTTTCCTTTGGGAATACATCGTACACTGCCTCAGCTATGAAGAATTTAGTAGATACTTATTTCCTGCTTGAGTTGTAATGTAGTTGCCCTGTACTTTGTTGGCTAAGGTAAAAAACCTTAGCCCTGTCTGTTGTTTTGGCACTTGCCACCCAAGTACTTGTTGGCATAGGGTGGTGGGCATCACAGGGTTAGTTAGGGTGTAGGTATCTGGCACATGTATTAAGTAAACCTAGGGCTTCTGTGTGTACTGTGGTTCATAAATGGAACAAAGAGGGAGGTGGTGTGTGCTCACAGAGTTGTGAGAGCTTAGAAATTTCATTGTACTAGATGTGTTTCCTTAACAGTGCTTTTAGTTACACATGTAAATACTTGTGGAGCAAGAAGGTGCTAGAAACTTAAAATTATAATTATAATGATATAAGGCTGGAAGTACTCTAGTCTTAGGCCAGAATTTTGTTAATAGTCAGATTCCTATGCTACTGAATAGCATAACTTCCTATGTTGCATTTTGTGTCTTTTTACAGATTGTTCTCTCTGTATAAGAAAATTTTTGTCCTATAAAACTCAGTGCCCAACTTGTTGTGTGGTAAGTTTTTCTTTTCTTTGTAAAAATTTTGTTGATTGGAACAATTTATTTTTTGCTTTCTGTGTCCACAAAAATGCACGGGATTATATGTAGTGACTGAGTTAAACCATTTGACTGTTTCCAGGAAACACTTCCGAAGTATATATAAGAGACCTGGGTTTTGTTCCACTTCTCATCAAGGGTTTTGATAACCTTAATGTATTTTGTGAGGTAGAAGGCTGTAGTACTCTTTGACTCCTACAATTTATGTTTTTATGGTTCCTAACTTTTTATAATTTCTCACTTTGGATGAACACTACTGGTGGGATTCTTTGTTTGTGAAGAACTGATATTTGTATTTGTAGAGGAGGTAGGAGATTGATGGCAACTGGGCTCAACCTGGTCTCTTAGCGCCCTCCCAGACCAGCCCTTCAGAACAGACATTAGCAAGTGTGCTGTCCGTCCCTGAGACTGTTCTTGCAGTTAGAACAGGTAGAGAATGAGATGGAACGGGAAATTAAACCTGTGTCTGGGGAAGGAAAGAAGAGACAGGGCTCTCTTGAAAAGGACACTGGGGAGCTGGAGGTGTGACTGCTCTGGCTGGTACAGCTTGTCAGGATGTCACTGAACTTGTCTAAACTGTTTGCTTTTGCTAAACAGTGCAGTTGCTTCAACCTCGGAGGTCTTTGCCACTGCTGTGCTGCCTTTGTTCAGCTGGACTTAGAACCAGTGTGTACCAGACAACGTCCATGCTGCAGTGCTAGATGGTGTTTCTGTAGTTTTGAGTTCTTATTTTTTAACCTTCTTTGAATAGTTAGTGCCTCTTCCAGTGTTATTACTTAAAAGCCTCTCCTGTTGCTGAGTAATGTGGGGAAAGCTAGTTTTGGTATTTTGAAGAAAAATCCTTGTTCATGTTGGGTTTTTGTTTTAGTGCAGAGTAAACAGCAAATAGTTTTAACATGCTTTTGAGAGCTGCAATCAGGCTTCCAGTTAGCAGGTTCTACCTAATTCACTGGCTTAAAAGTTCCATGTTAGTATGAGATGAATCTACTTTATTTTGAGATTTTCCTAGAAGACTAGTGTGACAGAGAGCCCCAGGAGGACAGGTCAGACATTTTGAAATCAGAATTGTGACAAGTTAATTATTGTTTATGACCTTTTCCATCTGTTGTTTTTCTTTTCTAGGCGGTAACAGAACCAGACTTGAGAAATAATCGTCTTTTAGATGAACTGGTAAAAAGCATGAATTTTGCACGGTATGATTCAGTTTCGTGACTAACCTCTAACTGCCTTTGCCCTTTATGTGTACCTCTTTTCCATCACCGTTCAGTTAGGGAGTGCAGGGTTACACACTGGAGCAGAAGAAAGGAAGTGGCAATAGCCACTGCACACATGAGAAAGTTCTAATATGTAGTCATAGGGGTTTTTCTATTTGATAGAAAATCTCCTCTTTTGAATAATTAAGAGTTAAAGTGTGGATAAATTGACTATTTATAGTTGATGCTGTATTGCTTCTGGGTTCTTAGGGTTTGAGTGGACAGTGCTAGAGAATATATATGTCTTTGCAGTTGTGTATACTAACTGTATTTGGTTCTGTTTGTATGTTTTAACCTATTAATCAGATTTGCTCAGCATGTGTAATATGGTATGCTGTGTGTGATGTGCAACTGCTTCTCTGTAAAGCTCTTATACATAGCTTTGCTCTTTAACTTTCAAATGCATGAATGTGTGACTGTGAATGTGGTCACCCAAAGGGATATAAAAAGGCATGTTTTACCAAACATATCTTGCATTGTTTTAATCATGTTATTTGTCACATGTCCATGTATAGGACTTCTTGGCTTATTGTAACATTCTTGGAGATATCTTACCTTGCCTCTAAAAATGTCACCAGACTGCTATTAGAATTGTACATTTATTCGTAGGTTTGTATCCTAAAGATGATTACGTTTGGCACTCTGAACTCTCCTGACATTCATTTCAGTAACTCTGGTTAGCTTTTTTCTTAGTGAGGTCACATAAGGGTGGTGTACTATTCTAGATTAAGAAACTATATGGTTCTCTGATTCTCTTATTGAAGTCATTGCTTTCTTACTGTAAAGTCTCTTTTCTGTTAGGACTACTTTTGGGGGGTGGGGAATGTGTATAGATGTGACATGTGTACTTGTTTATGTGGGTACACTTGCCTGTGTGTGAGGGTATGTAAGCTAGAGATCAGTATTGGTGCCTTTCTTTGATCACTCCCCTCATTTTGGGGAAGTGTTTCTTACTGACTTGAAGTTCAAAATTTTGGTAGTCTGGCTAGCTAATAACTTTCAGGGGTCTGCCTATTCTTGCCTGGCCAGCCCCAGCTTTTTATGGGGGTTCTGGTGCTTAAACTCAGATCTTCTTGCTTCCACCAAAGTCACTTAATAACTGAGCCATCTCCTCAACTTGTTTTTGTTTTGTTTTATTTTGCTTTTTAAGATTTATTTTTATGTGTCTGTGTATTTGAAGACCCCAAATGGATTCTGTCATTTTCTTGTGCTTGCCTTCTTGGCAGTATCATTGCCAGCACCATCCTTGAGGGGCATGTTTCTTGGATGTTCGCCGTGTACTTATCTGCAAAATTAGTAGGAATGAAATAGAAGTTAATCGATAGCATTACTTGTTTAAATGCTGTCTAAGATTGATGAGGGGAGAAGTTTAATTTTATGACTAAAATGTAAGGTATTTATATTGCTTGTTGATTTTGTTTCTTGTCTTTCCCATCTGCCATTTCCATTTTGTATGCCATTCTGATTTTTAAAAATTTAATATTCTAAATTGAATAATAAGAAGATGTGGGAAATAATTTAAGAGGTTTCAGATACAGGATGATGTGGATCTTTTATATTTTCTTTTGACCTTTGGCATTCATTTTTAAAGAGCACACTTTTTCTTGGTTCATTTTAATTTAAAGTAATGTCCTTAACCAGGTGTGGTAGCTTACCTTCATTCTAGCTTTTGGACCCTGTGTTTAGGGAAGAAATTCTTTTTTTGTTATTGTTTTTTGTTTTCCAAGACAAGATTTCTCTGGATAGCTTTGGAACCTGTCCTGGTACTCGCTCTGTAGCCCAGGCTGGCCTTGAACTCACAGAGATCTACCTGCCTCTGCCTCTGCCTCCTGAGTACTGGGATTATTAAAGGCTTGTGCTACCATCACCTGGGAAGAAATTCTTTTTTTTTTTTTTTTTTTGATGATGAGAGAAGCACCTGGCTTTTTTTTTTTTT